AAAAAAAAAAAAATTCAAATTGGCACGCTCACTGTAATTTACTGTGGGGGGTAGAGGAAAGGGGGGGGTTGAGGAGAAAGGGGAGTAATAACGATGACGACGATCACGACGATAATAATACTACTACTACTAATAATAATAATAAACCAATTTAAAAAAAAATCAAATAAATAATTTAAAATTAATTTTAATTTAATTAAAAAAAAAAATAAAGTGCCAAAAATGAAAAAATTAATTAAATAATAACTTTTATTATTATTATTATTATTATTATTATCAATTCATTTCGTTTTATTTGGTATGTTTTTTTAATATTTTATTCACTTTTTTTCTCATTTGCAGGGACGTGAGAAAGAGAAAGACAGAGAGAAAGAGAAAGAGAAAGAGAGACAGAGAAAAAGAGAAAACATGAGTATTTCACATTGTTTAAAAAAAAAAAAAAAAAAAAAATCATTACAATACACAACAGACTGGAGGACGCGTCGGATTAATTCCGACATTAATAATAATAATAAAAAAAAAAAAAAGGAAAAGAAAAAAAACTCTTCAACTAACGCGGTAGGTAAAAAAAAGGCGCCGTTTTTTTTTTTCCTTCTTTTTTCTTTTTTGTTTCACGTTGAACAACGAGACTAAATAATGACAATAAAAAAAATAAAATCGATCGGACTCCAAACACACAAAAAGAAAACGTCTTCTCATCATTAAGCTCTGGAAAAAAAAAAAAAAAAAAATATTAACTCGCTCAATCCATTCATTCGATAACAGTAAAAAAAAAGCGCAAAGATTTATTTTTTTCCAGACTCACTTTCATTTCATTAATGAGTGATAAGTCCTTGATAAGGATGACTAGTAGTCAAATAGACCACTGGAGCAGACGACTGTCACTGCGCGTGAGCGTGCCTGTAGTTAGGAAGAACATTGACTCCGACTCCGCTTGCGAAATAATCACCGATCATTAAACTGCTGCTAACCGGATAATGTGAAATCGTGTTTCCCATAACTATTTGGTGTCCGGTTCCCTGCTCATTCCCAACAAACAAACAAACAAACAAACAAAAAATTAATAATTTTAAAACAAAGGTACGTAAATTGACAACGACCGACAATTTTCATTTTTTTTTCGGATTAATTTTTTTTTTTAAATTTTTTCTTTAAGGGAGACACATACGGGAGATGTAAATAAGGTAGGTGAAATTCCTCCCCCTATAAGTTGAGCTTGTTGAGTGGAGGTCGCAGTACTGCTACCTACCCGTTGTCTTCCGGTGCTCGTGATCGACCCCGGGTGAATATTTGGTGGGTTGCCTGGAAAAAGAAGAAAACGTTATAAAATTCGCAAAAATCATCATCATCGAAATTTCTTTTCGATAATAATAATAATAATAATAATAAAACACTCACTCATGGTCATTCCGTTATTAGGATCGATTCCACAATCAGTCAAACCGTTAACGGATATTCCATTCGTCATACTAACTGTAAACGGGAAAAAGAAAATTTTTTTTAATTTTAGAAATTTCAATTCAAGTAAAATAAGGGTGAAATTATGTGTGAGAGAGAAAGAGAGAGATAGACAGACAAGTAAATCGCACCTCTTTCGTCCAAAGTGTTCCACCAAGCTTCGCTCGGGGACGTCGTGTTCGAACCGGGAGGAGGAGCGGCCGCAGTACCAGAATAACGAAAATATGGATTTTTCAAATCTAAAGTATTCGAAGCTACAATGTCGCTTCCGACCCTTTGAAGTTGTATCGTCACGTCGTAACTTTGACTGAAAATTTTTTTTTCAAAAATTATGATTTCCCGAATCGAACAAAAATTTTGTCGTGAAAAAATAAAATATATATATATATATAAACAATCACCGTTTGTTAGCGACGAGACTCACGAATCCTTTCACGATATCTCCGCTACCGACGAAAAGTGGATCCTCGAACAAACAACGAACTTGATACCAGTGAGTTAAAGGCTCGGTCGGAGACGTCGACAACCAAATGTTTTTACCACTTCCCGAAAATAATACGTCGAACCAGAAAGCAAGTCCGTGTATGGAACCTCCTTCCAAAATTTGATAAGTCAATGGGATTTCTTCGCGTGCAAATAAATAAATAAATTTTACGTTACGATTAATTACATAAAAATTTTGAAATTAATAAGAGTTTGCTAATTGAAAAAAAAAAATTCACCGATTTTATGCAACGATGATTCGTCGGCCGTCCTGAAGTCGATAATGTGTTTAACACTTTTTGCCGTGCAAATCCTTATGTCGAAAGTATCAACGATCGGCTGTCGGAAATATTCATTGTGAGCAGATTGTCGAAGACTACGCAAATCAACGTTGTGAAATGCGTTCTGATACCAAAAACTCGCTTTGTTAAACTGTTCCGTGTAAAGCGTTTCATCTTGAAAGGGTGCCACGTGCAATTCTCCCTGACAGGGAAACATTTTACCTAAAATATAAAAATAATTCATTAATAATATTTGCCCCCTCCCCCCCCCCCGTTTCGAATTTAAACGTTTAAATTATAACATTTTAATCATCTCACCCCCAGGTTTGAGAAATTTTTTTGCGTGCAAATAAGTTTCTAACATTCTTTCATTTATTAACATGTAACCCATGGGTTCGGATACGATAACGTCAACTTGTTCTGGCAATGCAAGTTCTTCTATTTTCCCAGGAATTACCTGGAAAAAAAAAAAAAAAAAAAAATTTTTATTTATTACAAAGATGTCTCCTGGATTTTGTAATTGATTTGATAATAAACTAACTTTAATTATGTGATCTAATCCATTGGCTGTGACTAGTGTTTGTGCATGATTTGCCATGGACGATGCTTCCACCGCATATACTCTACTAGCACCTGCTTGAGCAGCAAAAAAGGACAAAATCCCTGAACCGGCACCAACGTCGAGAACGACTTTGTCCTAAGAAGAAGAAGAAGAAGAAGAAAAAAACAAATCGTGTTAAATTTTAAATCAAGTTTAAAATATTTATAACTATATATATATATATATATATTTCATTTTAATTCACCTGAAAATCTTTATAATTTCCTAAAATAGCTTTCTGGTAAGTTGATGTCCTAATAAAATCTTGAAGCATATTTTGCTGTTGAGATAAGTAACCATAAAACTGAAAATATTGGCTTGCAGAAGATTCATCTGTTCGATCTGTAAATACTGAACTATTCTGACCTTCCTTTACTTTAACAATATTACTGTGAAATAGTTTTGAACCTTTCAACAAAAAAAAAAAAAAAAAAAAAAAAAAAAAAAAAAAAAAACAATTACATTAATTAATTTTATTATTATTATTATTTATAAGGCTAATAATGTTAAGTTGATATAAAAATGACAAAAGACTATTAAAGTTAATAACGTTAAAATCAAAAATCGAGAAATCAAACGAATAAATGCTAAGGTTGAAAATAGAAAGATGCAGGTATTCAAATGACATTTTGTTTGTTTATATTAATATTATTTTCAATTAGAAGATTCATTAATTTTGTGAATATGTGAATGATGAAAATAATAATAATAATAAATTACTCACTTTCTTCATTTACAAAATTAATAACTAAGCTTTCATTATCGACGACAATTGTATAACTTATTTTTCCTAATCTAGCACATTCTGTAGCTCTAGTTACAATGAATTCATTTAAAAAATCTGAAGATGAGCCACTTTCATTGGCTGGAAACAAAACAAATAAATAAATTATAGTTTATTTATTAATTATTTAAAAATTAAAATATATAATGTGTATATAAATAAATATTTTACATTTATTTATTTTTTATTTATTTATTTTGACCCCTTGTTAAATAATTAAAAAAAATTTTTCTTTCACAATTCTATTATTAAAAAAGAAAAAAAAAAAAAAAGAAAAAAAGTTAATTTTTTAAAATGATGTTATTATGTTAAATTAAATTAAATTAAATTAGAAAAAATTAAAAATAATTGATGCGGCTCGTATTTATTTGTTTATAAACACTGACACAAGAGAAAATTTTTTAAATTATATAATTTTATCCAAAAACTCGACATTAATACGCATATATAAAAATGAATGACGTTAGTTTGAACATATTCATAGCCTTGAACAATTGATCCGCGCGCTAATATGGGGGTTGGGGTGGTTAACTAAATTAAAAAAAAAAAAAGGGGTAATTACACATGAATATTTATTTATAAACTTAAATATTTCATCGATTAAGAAAATTTATTCAATCGATAACGATCGAATAAAATTTAGCGAGTATCCATTGAAAAATTCCAACTAAAGGATTTGTTTATAAATAAGTATTTTCAGTGTAAAAAGAAGCCGCTGTGTTTTGAAGAGACGCTCAACCACGAGGATCAATTGAAAAGAAACCACGAAAAATCATTTTATAAAAAATAAAAAACTAACAAACCTTTTTTAATTTTAACACTAAGACCATCAGGATCATATTCTAACACTAACTTAACTGGAACTTCATATTTCGGTACAGGAACTCCACTAGAATTTATACAATTCACCGAATTAACATTTATTGTAGTCGCCATTTTTTAGTAGACAAAGAATCGAAGTTCAGTACTGACAACTTAATTAGTTTCGTATTGTCACATAAATTAAAAAAAAAATTTTACACTCTATGAACTAATTCAATTACATTTGTTAAATTTATGTTGGCACCACCTTTAAAATCCCAATTAATGTCAATAATACTTTTATTAATTCTTAAAAATTTTTATTTTTGTAAGCAAATAAATTAGTTTTAGTTTATAATAAATTTAAACGATAATTAAACAAACAAAAAAAAAATTTTTTTATTTAATGTTTAAAAGTAAGGTAAAATATTTTTTGATTATTAAAATAATGATGAAAATAAAAAATTTGATAATAAAACTGAAATAATAATAATAATTTACAATAAGAAAATTTTATATACTAAATCTATGGAATTTAACTGAATTAAAGTGTATTAATTCAGTATCAAAAGTTAAAGTAAAATCCAAACTTAAAATTTATTTATTCGTAGTTGGTAAAATTCTTTTGCAAGATTTTTTTTTAACTTTATGATGAGTTTTTTTAGGTGCCGTCATATTAGCTACAGCTAATTCTCTGTCTGTGTGCCACATTTGAAGGTGATTTGCCCATTCAGTTGCCGAGAAGCATACACAAGAACAAATAACACATGTAATCATTGTGTTACCTCCTCCCTAAACAAAGAAAATATTCAATAATGTCTTTTAATAATAATAGTTTTTTTTTTTTTTCCATTATCATTTTCTCTTACACTTTTATCCAAATCTTTATATGTTTGATAGCCTCTATCTTCATGTTGTTCAGTCATATGTTTTACCCATTCTGAAGGATTTGTGTATACTTCGTGGCAGAATTCACATTGTAACTCGTTATAAACCACTTCCTCAATATCATCAGGTTCTTCCTTTTAATTAAAAGAAAATTATGAAAGAAATGTAAGAAATGTTTTAGTTAAATTGCTTTTCAATGAAATTAATTTAAAAATTAAATTATTACCACTTTAATAGTTATCATTTCTGTCGAATCTTCCGATTGTATTTTGGTGTCATTTAAAATCGGTTCATTTTCCTGAGTATCGTTATCAATTTCTTTTTTAATCGGAACCATTTCTATAGGAGTTGATGTAAAACTTTTTTGATGCTTTTTGGAAGGTGAGCTGAAATTTTCACAATGAAATAAATATTAACAAAACACAGACTCTTTTTTGTGTAAGAAAAAAAAATTAAATCAATTTTACCTTTCGGTTGATGTGGATGACGAAGATGATGATGTTAAATCAGATGTTGCAGATGATTTTTTTATACAATCTTTTGATGATGATGATGATGATGATGATTTTCTTTTAAGTGGTATTTGTACAAAATTTTTACTTTCTTGCGGTAAATTTTTCACTCTAATTGTCTTCCCCGATTTTGTTTGATTTTCTTTTCCACTTTCTTGTACATTTAAAACTTCCGTTAAAGCAGTCTTTTCATTTGAATTTTGATTTTTATTCGTTCTTTTTTCAGTTTTAGATAAAGTTTTCATTGAAACACTTTCATTGTCCTTCACTTGAATTTTTTCTTTCAATGTTGATTTCTTATTTTCATGTCCTTGACTTGAGGTATTATTATTTGAGCTTCTCGTTTCGTTTGATGAAAAATTTTCTTTAGTTGAACTTCCATTTCCTAAACTTTCACTTAAATTAACCAAACCTATTATTTCTAAAAATTGTCCTGCTTTAATTACAGAAGGAAGGAGTTCATGAGGCACTTGGGTTTCTCCTTTGTACATATAATTCATTAATATTTTAAAAATGTCATATTTTATTTCTGGTAAAGCTACAACCAATTGTATTTCCCTTCTCCTTTTCATATTCCTCAATAATTTTTGAAAATATTTACTGCTGTTGGCCAAAACAAACTGATGAGAGTAAATCATGTGTTTGTCAGCGGTTGCTATTATTATATCGGAATATGAAATATCCGTCATTAATTTTGTCATGCATGATGACAAATGATCAGTAAAATGATTCCAGTTTAAAAGAAATTTTACTTTTTCGCTTTCCATTTTTTTTTTTTACCTGGAAAATTAAATTTGCACACATTTCAACGAATTCTATAAAAAAAAACTATCTATCAAGAGTTTCTCTTTTTTTTTTTTCCCAGAAAATAAAAAAACAAATTAATCATTTGATAAATTGTGGGAAAATCGGTAAAAGTCGTTATTTTAATAATTTTTAATTGGAACTCTATTTCAAAATAAAAATAATTTAATAAAAAGAAAACGATTAAAACGTTTTATAATAATAATATTTATATCCATCTCCGATCAATACATGACAAAATTTATCGAATTAATATTGATGGTAATAACAATAACGAATGCAAATAAAATTAACGACTTGTTATTTTCAAAAAAAAAAAAAAAGTAGCCATTTTGAATTTTCGTGGGGTATAAGTCACGTGACAAATAACCGCAAAAATAATTGCTTCAATTCGTACGTACGAAGATTTGTAATGAATGTAAAAAAAAAAAATTAAAACGAAACGAAAAAAAAGTTAAGTAAGTAATTAATTAATTAAATTTATAAAATATCACGTAAACGAAATGGGAAACTAAAAAAAAAAAGGGGGGAAAAAAACAAAAACCTTGTTAAATCGATATAATTATTGATTTTTTTCCAAACAAAATAAATATACAACGAGACACAAGTTAAATCGTTTTCCCCTTCATAAACAAAAAATAAAATAAAAATAAATTATTAATAATACTTACAACACTTAAGGACGGTGAAAATCGATTATTATTATTAGTTATTTATTTATTTTAACCGATAACGATAAAAAAAAAAAAAAAAACATAAAGAATAATAATAGAAAAAGATTCGTAAAAATGTTATTATTATTATTATTATTATGTTTTTAGTAAACGTACGACGGATTTAAAATTTAGTGATTTTAAATATTTTAAAAAAAAAAAAAACGGTTCGATTATCTTTCTCTATCTTTTGTATTAAAAAAAAAAAAAAAAGGAAAAAAAAAAACAAAACAAACACCCACCCTTCTCACCCCTCGTAAATAGAAAACGAAATTGAATAGGATTTGGGAAGGAATCGTGAAATCAATAAACTTCCTGCGCATTTATTGATTATTGGTCGGCCAATGAAATCATTCACGTCATTGATTTTCATTTTCCGATAATCTATAATAAAAAAAAACGAAATTTAAGGTTTCCGTTCTCGTCATTCTAACGCTTTTATAAATTCCTTTCTTTTTTTTCTCTACGGAAAATTATTAATTAATTCCCTCCCCTCCCCCTCCTTCCCCCTCAACTCCCCCGGATTAAAAAAATGAAATTTAATAGAGTAAAAACGAGGGAGATTTTTTTAAATATGATTCAATATGGCTGCCGCTCCCGTTAAATTAAAAAACGTTTTAATTTTATCATTATTTAAAAAAGAAAATAATTTATATTTATATTATTTAATATATGTAATTAATTTTATATTTAAAAAAAAAAAGAATTTGTGTTGTTTGTTTGTTTGTTATCGGTTGTTGTTTGTTTCCGTTTGTTGACATTTTTTTAAATTTAAAATTTACTACTCTGTACTTAGCTTATTGAATAAATTTATCAATGAAAATTTTTAATTGATGAGACTGACTAATTAATTTTACTACTACGAACGTGCGTAAAAAACGCATTTTTCCTCTTTTTATAAATTTTCCATCTTTTTTTCCAAAATTTGAAAAATCTAAAGACGATGATAATTATTTAAATATTCTAAACTTCCCCTGCCCCCCCCCCCCAAAAAAAAAAAAAAATTTTTTTTTCTTCGTTAAAATAAATAAAAAAAAAAAAAAATCAAAAAGATGTAGAAAAAAAGGAACAGAGAGAGAGAAAGAGAGAGAGAGAGAGAGAGAAAGAGAGAGAGAGAGGGATAAAGAGAGAGAAAGGGAGAGAGAGGGAGAAAGAGAGAGAAAGGGAGAGAGAGGAAGAAAGAGAGGGGAGAGTAGATCGACAAAAAGAGGTAGAAAAACAGACTTAAAAAGAGGGATAAGTAGAGAAATAGAGAGAAAGAGGGATATATATAGAGAGAGAGAAAGGGAGGAAGAAAGAGGGATGGAAAAAAAAATTCCCTGTAAATTATTATTATTATTTTTTATTTAAATTTTCTTTTTTTTCCTTATTTTTTTTTTTTTTTATTTTTTTTATTTTTCAAATATATATTTTTTTTTCTTTTTCAGACATGTTAAATTTTATATTTGTAATTTAATAATAATAATAAAAATTTACAATTAATAATAATAATGGAACGAAAAAGACAAAAAAAAATAAAATAATAATAATAATAATAATAAATTTTTATACGATTTTTTTATATTTTTTTTTCATCAATTATTTTCATTATAAACAGATTTTCAATTTTTTTTTTTTTTTTTTTAACTGTAAAATGATACGTTTCTTTTATTACTTATTCACAAATAACGGTTTATATTATTATTATTATTATTATCATTATATTAATCATCGTCGTCGTCGTCGTCGTCGTACTAATCATCATCATTATCGCCAAATTATTTTTATTTTTTTTTTAAATTCATTAAAGTCTATTAATAATAATTATTATTTAAAAAAAAATATATATATACATATAAATAATAATGATAATTTCAATTTGATTTAAATTAATAATAATAATAATTCGATTGAAAATTTTTCACGACAATAATAATAATAATAATAATAATAATCAAAGATCAAGAATATGAGTTGGTACCGGGTTGCCAGAGTTACTATTGTCAGAGGAAAGTTAAAACAGCAGAAGAAATATATAGAAGATTTTGAAGAGGAAGTTATTAAAGACCTGGACCCCCTGGATCAACATACAAATATCTGGGGATTGAAGAAAATTTTGGGGTAGCCAACGAGGAAATTAAACCGCAATTGAAGAAAGAATATTTTAAAAGATTGGAACAAAATGGAAGAAATAAGATAAACGCCGTCGGCACATTAGCAGTTTTAGTAATAGAATACAGTTTTGGCCTCGTCGACTGGACAAAAGAAGAAATCACGCACCTGGACAGAAGGACAAGAAAAATATTTACCATGAATGGTGCGTTACATCCAAAAGCTGGTGTGGATAGATTGTACGTCAGGAGGAAAGATGGAGGAGGAAGAGGATTACGACAAATAGAAGCGGCATACCAGAATGCCATAATTGGAATGGGAAAATACATAGAATCCCATCAAGAGGACCCTATCTTAGCCCAAGTTATAGATTCGGAAGAAAAAATTACAAAAAAAGGAGTACTGAAAAGGGCAACTTGCAACTTATGATAGCAAAGCCCAATCTCAGAAGAAATTAAAAGGCAAATGGGAACAGAAAAAGTTGCATGGGCAATATCTAAAAAGAATAAGAAGAGGACGCACAATTGGCTACGGCGTGGAAAACTTAAAGTTGAAACGGAAGCTGAGGCATAATGCGGAAAAATGGTGTAAACTGATTGAAGTATCCGTGGCAGCAGAAAAAAACACGAGAGAGCCAAAGAAGTAGACAAGAAGGAGAAATGTGTCTAGTCTGCGACAAGGTAGTTCAGGATTTAAAGTTCAGGAAACCTTAATTTTTTTCTTCTGCTATTCTTCGATTTAATTATTTTTGTCTTCAATTCATATTACATCAATATTTATTTACAATTTTTATTATTATTATTATTTTCGTCTTCGTCTGGCATTTATTTATAATTCATACATCCATCTTTTTTTTCTTTTGTCCTGTCCTGTCTCTCCCGAATTTACGACGACGACGACGTAAACGATGACGTCATTTCCTTTTTTTTTAAATAAAACCCGTTTTTGAAATTTTTACAAAGATTCGTCAAAAAAAACATGTAATAATAATAATAATAATAATTAAATTCGATGATTTTTCTTTTGTTATTTCCGGTTTGTTTTTTTTTATTATAAATCTGACGCCATTTTATTTATTTATTTATTTATTCATACATTCATTCATTTTTATTTTTACGACGTATAAATTAAAAAAAATTTAAACAAATTCTCTTGCGCGGCGCGCGGGTTCATCGTGTTATGATTTAATTTTTCGATGATGCAAACAACAACAACAACAACAAACAAACAAAACGACGACGACGACGACGACGTTTTATTTTTTTTTTTTTTTGTCGTGTTGGCGTTGTTTCTTTTTCTTTTAATTTCAAAATTCATTTTCGTAACTTTTAGCAAAATAAATATTTATTATTGTAAATATTGTTCCAGCCACGCACGAATAAAAAAAATAAATGAATGAATGAATAAATAAATAAATAAATAAATCATACAACTTTTATTTATGTCTCATGTTCTCGTTCGTATTAATCATAATGATAATAATAATAAAATTATTATTAATTTACTCCTCTGGGATTAAATATCCCCCCTTCCGGATTTTTGATATTTAAAAAAAAAAATGATAATAATAATAATAAAAATCATATCTTTACATTGATTTTCCTTTTTCTTTTTTTTTTTTTCCTCTCAATAAAAATCATCATTATCATCTTCATAATCATCATCAACCTTAAACTTATCAATTTTTTTTTTTTTACTGTTTTTTTCTTTTTTTTTCTTCTTATTTTATTTTATTATTATTATTATTTAATATGTACAATTTAAAGAGAAATTCAGTCCGCCATTTCTTTTTTTCCTTTCTCTTTTTATCTTTCTCTCATTTTCTTTTTAATCCTTTCTTTTTCTCTTTTTCTCAATTATCATCTTCATCATTTTCTTATTTATCTTTACTTTCATCGCGAACATTTTCTTCCGATCCTTTTTCCGATGCCACCTCATACATCCACACTTTTCCTCGTTTGTTTGTTTGTTTCACATTGAATGAAAGCTTCCTGAAGTGGTTTCTTTCAAATTTTCTTTTTTTTCATTTCCGATTTTCGAATCTCATTTCGAAAATGAAATGAAAAAATAGGGAAAAGAATGCAAGAGAGAGAGAGAAAAGGTGAAAAAAGGAAAATCTCTTTTCTCCCTTTTCTTTTCCATTTTCATCAATTTTCCAACAAATCATCATCACGATCCAAATAATCCATTATAATATAAATAATTCATATTATAATAAATTAAATTATTATATATATATATACTCTCTATTATTATTATTATTATTATTATTAATATTATTATTATTATTATATAAACTAAGGCTCGCCTTAACACATGTGATAGGGTCCGACTCCGAGTTTGGGACCATCTTCCGCTTTCTCTTCTTCTCTCCTTTTCAAACAAGCTGCTTTAGGATTTAAATTTCTCTCTGTAATGATAATAATGACAATAATGATGATAATAATGATGATGATAATGATAATAAAACGATACCTCACACTTTGACACTCGATTTCTCACCTCGTACTTGTTGCTCGAGCTGCATAATAACTTCTACGGCCATATTCAATATCCCGAGTTTGGTCTGTGGTTTGTCCGTCTTTAAATGGGTCATACACATTCTTCCTAGTTCTTTAAGTGCTTCGTTTATATCACGAATTCTTATTCTGTAAATTCATAATCATCATCATCATCATCATTATTACAAATTATTTTCCGCCGATGATAATAATAATAATAATAATAATAAAATTTTCTCATGGAATAAATTTGTGAAAACGAACGCGCGAGTAAATACGAATTTTTAGTCTTTATATAATTTTTGAGAGTCTGCTACCCATGTCTCCATTTTTTTTTTTTTTCTTTTCTTTTCTTTTTTTAACCATTTTGCGAGAAAGATAGATAGACAGATAGAGAGATAGATAGAAAAAAAATAATAATAATTTTCACGGATAAAACATCTTACCTTTCTCTCGCGTTATTTGCCTGCCTCCTTTCTTTTTCTCTCTGAGCTTTGATATCGGGATCCTCATCTTCCTCCGCGCTCGAACAGTGGGAACAAATTTGAGAAAAATAATTTGCGATAAATGCACTTGTTCGTTACTTTTTTTTTTTTTTTTTAATTAAAAAATACAAGTATATGAACGAATGATGGATAAGGAATGGATAAGGGAATGGATGGGGAAGAAAATGGTGGGGGGGAGGGAAAGATTGTTAAGGTTCAACAAAAAAACAACGTGGATAAAAATAAATAATAAAAAAAAAAAAAAAATAATCATTAAAAAAAGAAAGACAAACGAGCAGTGCAAACTCTCAAAAAAACTTGAAACTAATTTTTTCTAGATTTTTTTTTTTCGAAATCGAAAATCAAATCGAATCAATTCGAAAAATTCCTCCGAACCTCCTCCTTCTTGTACCGTCCTTGTAACGAATAATTCGTATCCATGTTTGATAATCTAACCTTTAATCCGATCCTTAATCTACCTTTCAACCGATTATTATTATTATTTATCACGTGCATCAAGATAAATTTTGACTCGTGTTACCCACGTATTATTATTTTTTTTTTTTCGCACGTGTAATTTTTCGCGTATTATTATTATTGTTATTCCAAGAGTTTGTTGTCACTGCTCGCTCACCTTTCTCGAACGTTGTTGGCTTGACGACGTTCTTTGTCGCGGATCGATTTATCGGCATCATCTTCGTCTACTACGCCACCGCCATCACTCACGGAACTGTTATTACAATTAATTCGTAATGAAATAGAACAAAAAACAAAAAAAAAAAAAAGAAAAAAAGGACTCGATTCCGAGTCAATTACTGTGATGAATGTAAAAAACTATTTTTATAAAAATAAAAAGCAATTAATAATAATAATAATAATAAAATGGCGTATGAAATTAAAATGAATCCGTTTTAACTTTTCTCCTGACTTTTTGTGAAATGAAAACATGACACGAATCATTAAAATATCATTAAGCCAACAACAACAGCAACAGAAAAAAAAAGGCTTACGAGTAAAAGTGTTACTTACTATCTCCTAGAACGTTTGTTTCCTTTTGAAACGGTACTAGATGTTGAATTAGGTGCAAGACTCGGACCTGATACTACACCCAATTCGGAGCTAGAAGGCTTAATTTCTAAATTACTATCCGGCGGTTCTTTTCTTTTTTCTGCAAAATTATTATTCAACGGATTATTATTACGTCACAACAACAACAACAACAACAACAACAACGTAACTCTGTAAAAAATTTTTTTTACTTTTTCCTGTCGATGCTGCGGTAATTCTTTCCACTTTAACTGGGACGTCTGAATGAGCCTCTTGAGGATATCCAGATAGAGGGCCGGGAACGGAACCCGGTGGACCTCCGTGCAATGGCCCCGCCGTTCCACCGGGACTTGTCATGTGATCTAGGGGCCCCGACGGTACTGAAAAATAATTTTTTTTAAATAATTAGTTTACAAGTCGAAAACGGTGACGTCACATTTCGCGACCATAATCCAATCTCACCATGTGGATAAGGAGCTAATAATCCATTAACACTAGAATGCGTTGATAATCCACTTTGAGCTAGAGCGTGTAAACCTTGCAGACTTTCGGCGTGATTTCTTAATACATTAATGGCATCGTCTAACCTTTCTTCCATCCTTGTTTCCTATCAAAACAAAAATTACTATGACAAATTTTCTTTTTTTGAAATTTTACAAAAACAAAACGACATAAATATTAATGAAAGGCTCCGGTATTTATCTTTCTCTCTCCCTCTCTCTCTTTCTCTCACTCTCTCTTTTTTACTTACATTTATTACCTCGTTGTGGTCTCTAAGAAAACCGATTGCATCGTCCAATCGTTGTTGTTCAGGCGGATTCTAAAATTGCATTGCAAAGGTGCAAAATCAAAATCATTCCAAAACCAAACATAAAAGAAAAAAAAAAAAAAAAAAAAAAAAAAACGAAAAAAATGAAACAAAAAATAAAATAAAATAAAATAAAATAAAAAAAATTAAAATAAATTAAAATAAAAATAAAATAAAATAAAATAAAATAATAATAATAATAGTTTTATGTTTTTTAAACATTTTCTGAACAATTTCATATTAAAAAAAAAAAAAAAAAACATAAAAAACCTATTCACATTGTATTAAAAAAAATATTATTCACACCAATAGTTAAGGTAAAAGCAAACAACAAAAGTGTGACAAATAAAGCGTAGGAAAAAATTTTTTTCATTCATTTACCATATGCATTGCCCTGTGTTCGGCTGAATGTCCCGGAAATGAGTGATGGCCGTGAGGTGGGGGAGAACTAACTGGTGTGCTTGGATTTGAACTGTAACTGGACACGCTTTGATCTGTTGGGTATATCTGGAAAAGAGAGAGAGAGAAAGAATAAGTAAATAAGTAAAAATTTGACGAATCTTGTAAATTTTGGAAATTTCTCACTCAAACTCACCGATGCTAAAGCTTTTCCCAAAGTATCTCCGGGAGTTTGTGAATGGGGTACGTTTCCGTGAGGGGAATGCCCTCTAAAACTGGACATGGGAGGAAGTCCTGGTGGTCCTGCCGGAGATGGAGCCATGGGCGCAGCTCCACCCAATAAAGGAGTAGGACCTTCTCCTGTATGATGATTTGGAGATATGGCACTATAACCCTACAAAAAAAAAAAAAAATCAATTCTTGTTGTCTTGGAACCAAAAGACCACAAAATTCTTTTTGATAAAAAGAAAACTCACCATATCATGAACACCATGCATGGGTGGAGGAGGGTAGGAAGGCTGAGATAAATGTGAAGTACCATAAGGAGAGTGACCAGAAGGGTAGGATCCTGACTGAATGGGTCCTTGCGTTCCTGGGGCACCAGTCCATGGATCTTGCGCTGCATTTGCGCCATTTGCGCCATCTGAAAAAACAAATTACGATTACAACAAATCACTTTTACTTTCCGCTACAATAAAAAATTTTTCACAAAAAAGGAAAACTCACCCAAATAATATGGATCGGCATAGAGTCCGGTCGCGGATTTTGGTGATGTATACCTCGGCGAATCTTGACCAAACTCATCTGAACCATACTGTAATGAACAAGAAAAAAACCGGAAATTAGAAAAATCAAAAATCGAATTTAGGAAATCCGTAATAAAATAAAATAAAATAAAATAAAATAGAAAAAAGGTCGTAAATTTTTTAAATGAAAAACGAATGCCGGTGACTTCATTACGTTCAACTGGATATGAATCTTTGATTTTACGCTTCGAATAATTTTTCCTTTTTTCGAATTAACAAAACCTTTGTATTAAATAAACCGTGGATAAGAAAATTCATCATTTCTTCGGAAATTTTTGCTTCCTTGCTTCCTTCCTTGCTCGGCGGTCGTCCACACGAGACATCATTCATTCATCTCTCCAAAAAAAATACGCACTCACGCACACACCCACTCATAAGATGTGTAATTTATCGAAAAGTATTTGTCTGAGTCAAAAAAAAAAAAAATCTGCATATGCATTAATATAATAAATATTTATTTTGAAAAAAAAAAAAAAAAAAAAAAATTTGAGTAATGTGAAAACTACCTTTCAACGCATTTCGTTTCCTTGCAACTTTTTTTTTTTTTTTTTAAAAATTGTTTGTTTGAAAGAAATAATAATAATAATAATAATAATAATAATAATAATAATAATAATATTTTTGCCAATTTGAGAAGGAATTGATGCAGTTTTTTTTGCTGGGTCTGCTTTATGTCAAAATTTTCCATTTGCAAAATGTCACGGCAAAAAAAAGCAAAAAACCCAAAGGAAAATGCATTTCAATATTAAAAATATTTTTTTTTGTTTGTTTAGTTCAATACGATTATAGATTATTCCAACATTGTCAAACGCATACATACACACACACACAGAGAGAGAGAAAGAGAGAGAGAGAGAGAGAGAGAGAGAGAGAGAGAAATAGATTTGATACTTTACAAACAAATTCAGATTCGATACATCCTATAAGTGAATAATCCACGTCAACAATTATATGTGTGTGCGTGCGTGTGTGCAAACGTATAAATTTATTTATTTCAAAACCGATGCATGTAATAAATAAATTTTCTGAGCGAAAAATATTATTATTATTTACACAAAACCATTGAATATTATTTATTTGTCTTCCTCCACTTTGATTTTCTTATAAAGTTCTTTGAAAATATTCATTCATACAGTTCTATCTTCTTTACAAAGAATTATTATTATTAATATTATTAATCGTTAAGATTTTCGTAGTCATTACCAACTGTTAATTATTATTATCATTATCACTACCACCACCACCACTACTACTATTATCATCACCCTTCTTATTTCTCTGTTTTATTATTGACGTTTTATGTTAGATTTTTTGTCTTTTGCTTTTTTGTCAGGAATGAATTTTGAAACGTTAAAGAATCGCCATCTTTACGATCGTGATTCTCGATCGCACTGACCGTTACATGTTGCGTAACCGAAATCCAAGAGTTTCCCGGTCAAATTCGATTTCATTTCCGGTTTGCGTTTTAGAGTTCCTTTAATTTTTTTGATTACCATCGACTAAAAGCCGTGAAAAAAAGAAAAAAAAATACCCGAATAGATTTTTATAAGTCAAAGGAGGAAAACCCCGAATGAAAATTTTAAAATTTGACAACACGAACGATTCGAGTGTGTGAACAATAATAATAATAATAATAATAATAATAATAATAATAATAATAATAATAAAATACAAATCGCGGAATTGAATTGAATTGTTTATTACGAAAACAAACAAACAAACAAAAAAAAAATGCAAACGAAAGTTAATATTAATAATCGACGGACTATTGAGTTGTTGTTGTTGTTGTTCTTCATGCTAAAAATTTTTTTTTCTTTTTCTTTTTTCTTTTTTGTTTTCTTTTTTTTCATTTTCACATTAAACTTAGGATAACTTTCTGGAATCCGAAACAGACACGAATAATTGATTTTTGCAGCTGCGAAAAAAAACTCGATACATATTATTATTATTATTTTCTTCTATTGTTTTTACTTTCACTATACTTTGCGACGACAGGGTTTTCATCACACACAAACAAAAAAAAAAAAAAAAAAAACTTTTGCCGGAAATATTATTTATTATATTATTTTTTCATTACCATATTCAAAGACACGATTTCTTTTTTTTTTTTTATTATCATTATTACTAAATAATTTTTTTTCTTTTCTCGAATTTTCCGCTCTTTTTTCTTAAAAAAACGGTGTTAAACCGGTTTCCGGTTCATTTAAATAATAATAATAAAAGAAATCGTAAACGAATCGCGACCGATTTACAACGGGGGGGAGAGGGGGTACACTTTTTTAACCAAAGACATCTTTGAATATTCTCTCTCTCTTTTCTGGACGCTAACACCACTCGATTTCGTGTTAAAGAGTTGAACAGAGAAAAATAAATAAATAAATAAGTAAAAATTTAACAGAAAAAATAGTGCTATCGACGAATGCAGGTCAAGAATACACACGCACACACACGCACACATGCACGCACACGCACAAAAACAGCTGATGGGAAAAAATTTGCTGCGCTTCAAGTGTTTAGAAAAAAAAAAAAAAAAAAAAAAAAAAGTTATGTGCGCGCTTTCTTTCATCTACTTTTATATATAATTTTCGAGAAGGTCGTCCTTCAATAAGTTTCGAAAAAAAAAGACTTTCGTTCCAACCCCCCTCCACCTTCTACCCTTTCTCTCTCTCCCCTTTTTAACAAATTTTTAAACGTCGATGGGGAGGGGGGAGGGAAAAAAAGTGACCTAGGCTCCGTTATTCATTTAAAACTTGACCTCGACAATATAATCGATCGTTTTCGAAAATTTCGAATTTGACCGCATCGCATTTAAACGAGACATGTAAAAATTAATAATAATAATAATAATAATAATAATAATAATAATAATAATAATAATAATAATAAATTAGAGAAGCAAAATATCAAAGCAAAGGTGACAACGATAAAAATAAACAAACAAATAATTAAACTCATAAAATCATTATTCAAGTAATTGTATCATCATCATCATCATTTAAAGAAGCAATTCTATCATCATTATCATCATTTAAAGAAGTAATTGTATCATCATCATCATCATTACCGCTTGCGTACTATTACGCGTATATTACAAACTAATTTAGATAATTAAAAAAAAAAAAAAAATTAATTTTTTAAATTACTCGTAATTCATATAACAATCCTTTGTTTTTTTTTTTTTTTACATCGACAAACAAACAACAAACAACAAACGGTAACTCCATCGAGAAAGAGATCAAAACGAATTTTGTGGAATAGGAAAGAAAAGGAAAGGAAAGAAATAATAAATTCAAATTTTTGCGATGACAACCCCCTCCCTCTCCCCTTTTTTTTTTCAGTTACCCACACACGATTGACGTCAATTTTTTTTTTTTTTTTCGAGCAAAGTTCAGGCACGAAACAAAGAAGGGGGAGGAGAGGGGGAAGGGGAAGGTGAGGGGAAAACATAACCAATAACAAAGAACAGACAAAGTTAAAAAATATTAATCGATGATGAGGGGCACGCGACAACGATGATGATGATGAGACAAACTACAAGAAAAGTTTTTAAGAATCGTGCAAAAGTGACATTCGAACCGTCATTTCTCTCACGTCAGACATTTTTTTTTTTTTTTTTCCCGGCCATTTTAATAATAATAATTACAACGAGGGAGACGACGACGACGACGACGACGACGATGATGATGATGATGTAGATGATAAAATAATTCCGGTAATTTTTTTTTTTTTTTTTTTATTGATACATCAAAAATGACATTATGAGCTCAATTGCAGAATAACAATAAGGCAATTGTAATTCCTTTACAACACGATGATAATGATAATGATAACGATCGCGCGTACATTTTGTTTGCAAAGGTTAATACGCGAACGGAGAAGAGGAAGGGAGGGAGGAGAGATTAGCGGGTGGGAGGGAAAACGGTGAAGCCGTGCATCATCTAATTAGCAGATTACACTTACCTAATTTTTTTTTTTTTATTTTTTTTATTGTTGTTATTTTTATTGCCATTATTTTTAATTTACATTTTTTGTTATTTAATTTAAAAAAAAAAGCGAGACAGCGAGAGAGAGGGAGAAAGAGAGAAAGAGAGAGATAGAAAAAAAAAAAGTTCAAACAAGCAGTAAAATAGAAAAAAATAAAAAATACGCGCCATTTTTTAATTCGTTGTACCATGAAATGTTTGCGATGCAATTAAATTCTAATTAACCTGACAATTGTAAAAAAAAAAAATACAACTTAGAGGAGAATAAAAAGTTGTAAATTTTTTATGAAAAAAAAAACATTTTTTTTTTTTTTATTATTTAATATTCCTTAATCGGATCTCGCTATTATTATTATTATTATTATTTATAAAGGTCATTTTTTCGTCCGATCTATCCATAACTAATTAATAAATAATTAATAATTTTTAAAAACTCATCAACCGCCATTTTGTGAAAATAAACCGATGTTTCGAATATATACGTTTTACGATTCGTAACTTTTTCCCTTTTCTTTTTTTTTGAGAAGAAACAAAGAACGAAAGAGAGAGAGAGAGAGAGAGAGAGAAAAAATATTAATAATTTTAAAGATATTAATCGTATATACGTGTGAATACGCGTTATTATTAAGATTTCTAAAAATCTTCGACAGATGATGAAAAAGGATGAGAAATCTAAAAATTTACTTCGATTTACCTATATAAGGTCGCTTATTTGATTTTTTTCTTTTTCTCTCACTCACACACACACACACACACACATTTTCTCTCTCTCTCTCTCTCTTTTTTAAATTTAAGTAATTTCCGACCCGTGTGCTACCCCTAACTACTACTCTTTGTTCTGTTTTTTTAGTTTTGTAAATAATTAAAATTTGGACTACTTGTAGATAGATCAAGTAACCTTTTGGATATTTGGGAACAATTTCATTTAAACTACTAAAGATAACTACTACTACTACTACTACTAGTAGTAGTAGTAACTTGAAACGATTTAAATAAAATTATTTATCTAGTTATGTAATATTTCAAATTTATTAAAAGATAAAACAGAAAAAAGGAAAAAATTCGTATGAAAAATCACAACGAAAACATAACACGAGTGAATAATAAACGGGGGGGAAATCGAAGGCAACATGACGATTTTTCCCTTTTATCCTTTTTGGAAATTGTAACGCATTCGTTTGCACGAATTTGAATTTACTACAAAACAATTACTACACACACGAATGTAGATGTAGTTGTATATAGAAAATTCGGTTGCAAAGTAGTAGTAGAGAGAGAGAGAGAGAGAGAGAAAAAAAAAAAAAGAAAAGAAAGCCTACGAGGGGTCCTGAACCAAGTCGAATTGTG